AGGATGAGCAGGTGCCGGATGTCTCTTCGCCTGCGCAAGCCAGATGGTTTCGGCTCCCGCGCTCTCTCCTCCGCTCCCACGGCGTGGGGAAGGCGACAGGGACCTCGGAGGAGCCCCTCAGATGCTGAGGTCCGTGCTGCACTCCTTGTGGGTGCCTGCGGCTCGGCTCGTGCTTCCAGCCCAGGTCTTCCCTCTCCCGATGGCCGCCTCGCTCCTCCCTGAACCGTCTGTCAGGCGACCTCTCCCTCCGCCGGTCAGACGACTTGGCCCGCCGGTCCAGGGAGTTCTCTCTTCTCCGATCGGGCGATCTCCTCGGCTCCGTGAGTCTCTCCAGCGACCGCCGGCGCCGGCTGGGCGACCGCTCTCTGCGCCTCTCGGGGGAGAGGTCTCTCCTCCTCTCGTGTCTCTCCCGCCTCTCCAAAGTGTTGTCGGCGCTCCTCGTCCCTTCCCTGCGCTTTTCAGGAGACCTCCTCTTCTGCCCATTCACCACCACCACCACCCTCTCAGGCTGCCTCTCGCGCCTCTTCTCCGGCGACCTCTCCGTCCTCCTGCCTGGCACGTGGTCGTTGGTTTTTGAAGTCCCATTCCAAGTGTGGTGTTCGTTGGGATGTCTGCTAAACTCTCTGCTGCCTTTTAGGTCTCTAACGTAAGTCCGCTTGTCCCCATGTTGTGATGATTTGTGAAGGTCTGGTGGATAACTGGACTCCGATGATGGGTGCTGCTGTCGGTCGGATGGCACGGGTTTCATTTCCGATACATTTTGTGAACCTGTGGCGGGACTGTTCCTGTCACTGCTGGGGTCTGAAAGAAAATAACAGCAAAGCATTTGGTATCGATGCCTTCTGCGGCGCCATGACACCACTTATCACTCTTCAGACTTCATTAGTGACAAAAACAAACAACTGTTAAAGCAGTCAGCGAAGGCTAACCGAAGCTTTTTGTTAATTTAACTGCGAACAACAAGAGTTACAGGTTAGTACTGGTGCTGCTCTGTTCGTTAGCCGTGTTTTGGTCCAAGCTGATATCATCTTTATGCTCTTCTGGTCATGGGGTATTTTACATTTTCCCCAAGCCCAATTTATAATGTTTCAGTTACACTACTTTCTCTCCAGTGGAAAACAAAATTATTGTAGTTCGGGTGGTTGGCTGTTTTTTTTTTAACAGTTTCCAATAAATAGGGCCTTTAGGAAAGGATTTTTTTTTCTTTTAAGTCTTTTGAAAGAACTGCCTTCCAGGTGTGGGAGGCCTTGTTTCAAATAGCAGAAAATGTACAGAAAATAGAATTGATGATTAAGTTCTCACCTTGTAAAATAACATTTGGAAGGTGTGAGAATTAGACTGTAATCATGCAATTTCCATTTCATTTAAGACATTACTTAATCTCACTTAGTTCTACCATGTTACGAAAAGTCCTAGGGTAGATTTTGGTTTTGCCACAATGATTCGAACAATGATGACAGAAGTTATGATTTTTTCATATCAAAGCAATGGAAAGATATTGTAATATGTAGGATGGCTTTGATTAAAACCTACTCTCCAGTTCATTATTTTTAATGTAGTATTTCAGGGTAAAATACAGCTGAGCTACCTCTGCGAGATAAACTGCAAAGCAGAAGAAAAGAACCAACCCCCAAAACTAAAAACCAGCCCTGCGCTGGAGCTAAGCTACAATTACTCACATCGTTTGTAACGGATGTTTATGAATGATTCATTATAGACATGGCAAACATTAAAGTAGCTGTGCTGACTTAATGTGAGCATTGCTTTTATTTGCTTATTGCTTTCTTTTCTAAAGCAACTTCTGCACAGCAAGTCGGCTGGCATTAGCTACGCTTCTTGCCGCTTGCACCGAGACACCCACCTCGAGGTGGACTGTCCTGATGGCAACGACTGAAAACCCTCACAAACACCTGTGGGGACAGATTTTTTTTTTTTTAATCTGTTTTTCTCCTTTTTGTCTTCCCTCCCCCAAGCCAAACACACTCTACATGCCCACTCATCCTGCCATCATGCCAAGCGTCTCCCATTCGATGGCATTTCCATTCCTTAGCTTGGGAAGGTCGGTGTGTGCATGGGCCACAATTTTTGTGACTTCCAGGTGAAACGTGTGGTGTGACTCACATGTGTGCATTTTTGCTTATTAGCATTTTCAGGCAGCAGCTGGGGACCACACCGCTTTTCTGCAGCTGTAAGCACGTGGCTCGCAGCAACCTGGCTATTGCACAAGGTACAAGGGAGGTTTAAATGTGTCCTGTGGTGTACTTACAATTCAGGGGACGAAGGGTGCTCGGAATGAACTGCTGTACATATAAAATATAGCGAAGCGGAAAGCAATGTGAGGGAATTAGGCCACAGCACAAAAACACCTAGTATTGATTTTAGCTACAAACCGTAGTTTGATTATGGCCCATAAGGTAGAAGCAAGACTCCCCGAGCTTGTCATTTCTCATACATGCAGCGATATTAGGAGGTATCATCGCTGAGGAAGGAAGAGCCCAGCACCAAGAAAGGTAAGAGAAAGAGAAAGAGAAAAGTAGAAAATTTAGATTCCCTATAATAAAGATGAAAGAAAGAAAAATCTTCATATTTTATCTTAGAATAAAGAAAGTTTATTTTTCCAGTCAGATTGTCTAGGCTTCACCCAAATATAAGGCTGCAAAGACAGCAGTTGTTATTATCGTGACATAAAGAGACATCTAAGAGGTGATTCAATAACCCAGACAACGAGAGCACCCATTCTAAAAGACAGCTGGAACAGCGACACAGAATGTCATAGAAAAAACATTAACAATCAAACAACAACGAAAAATAAAGTCCACCAGAGACCACAACATTAAAAATAAGTACAAAACTCATTACAAAAATATACAGCCTCATAGAGAAGCACGTTCCAATCGAGTCAGAAAAATATTGGAACTTAACATTATTAGAGGAACCATTTGCGACTGCAGTGAACAGAACAAAGAGAAGAAGGAGTCCCAAATGTTACAAGGATATTCTTTACAGTAGTGCAACCCCTGTATATTAAATCCTTGCTTGGAGAATGAATGTTTAGTGATTTAGCATTAGCCAAAAGAAAATTGGTGATGGATTTCCATCCTCAGTGCAACAGACATATGCTTTGAGAAGTGAAGCACTTAATTTACAGGGTATTTATGCAGTCTAGCATATGATACAGTACTGTACATCCAAAGGAGTATAGGAAAAGACAAAAGTAGAAAGAACATTACAGAATTTCAGTGCCATCATCGAACCTTCTGGTGTGCTATTTATATTACAGAAGTGTAAACCCACAACTTCTCTTCCATATTGTTAAACACTTCAATTGTTTGTTGGTTTTTACTCTGTATTGGTCATTTAAAGTTAAATAATGAGCAGAGTGAGCAGAAACTCTCAAACGTGGTACAGTAAATGAAAAGAAAATCTAGTTCATAAATTGTGCAGAAGGGGTTTGTTTCTGGTTTTAGGACATGGAGTGAATGATAAACACAGAACTTACTGACACAGAAATAACCCAAATAAGGGGAGAAAAATATAAAGGACATCCCTTCAATCATCAGTTTCTATAGAAACCTCAAAGACCTTTGGTTGGGAGTAGCCCTCCATCGAGGGCACAATATTTGACAATTATCTCAAATAAATAAGACATAATTATAATATTAAATAGTGTGCTAAGTTAAGCCACCCAGCAATCCAACCTCCGGGGGAAGAAAAGGAAATCTAATGCAATTCTTAGTAAGAAACAACGACTGAATGTTTCCCCCAAGACAGACACAAGAGCACCTTTTCATAACCTCCTCACCTTTTCAGACCTTACAAATTAACTAGTTGAAACCAGCAGACAGTTTAAGAGGGGAGAAAAGGCCTCAGGAGGCCAAATCAATATATTTTTTTCAGTAAAGCTTCTTTTTTTCCTTCTTTTTCTTAAATAACTTTATAAATATTTACATAAATATTAGGGGAAGGCAAAAATCTCATAAGCCATCTTGGCATTCATGTCTATGGATACAGACAAGAACTAATAGAAAAACCTAACAAAAAAAATCACCGCTTCAGAATAATAACTCAGGATCCCAGTTTTTGCATTGATTAGAAGTAGAGACCTATTTGAAACAACAATTCAGCCGCTGAGAAACAGTTTGGCACAGTTCAATGACATTCCTTGTTTGCCTGGACAAGACAATAAGGTTTGTTTTGTTTTGTTTTCCTCTCTGATCACCAAAAATACTGCTATGATGATCTTGCCTTACACTGCGCCCCAAGTCCATGGAAGCAAGCAAAGGATGAAATGTGTAGAAAATTCAGCACAAGAGAGGCAATTAACCATATGCTGCAAAGGCTGGTAAGACACTGGTGAGAAAGGAAAATAAAAAAGAATTCCCGCTTCAGATCTTGAGACAAATCATTCATGGAGTGATGCCAGGGAAGAAAGGAATGTTTTCATAGTTTGACCCACCATATTCTGGGACAGAGCCATCTCCACGTTTCAGAAACAGGCGGACCCTGCGGCCACCGTTTTTAATCAGTTCGATGGCCCGAGCGTGCTTCATGTTCTTGGTAGTTTCTCCATTGATCTCTAAGATTTCATCACCAATCTGTCAATGCGATAAAAGAAAAGAGTCTAAGATTAGGAACAAGCCCTCACGAGGGTCACCACCAGCACACCACAATGGCCACAGCAAAGGTGGAAGAAGAACTATGCACCGGGTGAAGCTAAATACGCCCAACTCCTTCCAGTGACAGTCCACAAAAAACCAGTATGCAGGGGCCTGGGAGACATGAAGATGACAGGGAAAGCTTGAGGTATCAAAATATTTTATTGCTGTTCTGTAAAACCACCTTGTATTACTGTATTGCTCAATACCTAGAGTTGTGTCAGAACTAAGTTATTTTATTTTATTTTGATTATTTGTAAAGTCTTTGGTCAAAGTGGTTGTTTGTTTTACAGTCTGCTGTAACTGGGATCTTCAAATAGCTTTTTCAGGTCTGTTTCTTACTTGGATATAGATACTATGAACCAGTAAACCTGCTTTTGTACATCTCATCATTTATCAGGAGAGGAAAACAGGGCTTGGAAAAGCTTTGGCATTGGCTTCCACAGGGCAGCAGTGATTTATCTTAAACAGCAAAAATTTTGGACCTATAAATCTATCCCTAGCAAAAGAATTTTGAAAATGCCCTTTGCATGACATATTTGGAGAAGAAAGACCTGCATTCTCTGAGGGAGGAGCAAGGAGTACATAAAACTTGGCAATTTAACTTTTCTGCAGGCATTTTATAACACATGTCCTTGTTAAAATCTTCATAATTTAGATGATATATGAAGTTAGTGGTTAATACTATTCAAGAACCACACTCTAATTGTGCAATCCAGGGGTTGGTATACACACAACCTCACCACCCTACCCCCCAGCAGAGGAGAGGGTCAGGAGGGACACCCCAAATCCCTACTCACGGCTCCAGCTTTAAAGGAGCTGGCAAAGATTGTGGCTATTACATTTTCATTGCTACACCGATCTGTGATAGGCTTTAAAAGTCAGATTATGTATCAGAATTTGGAAACCTGGGTTGGAACCAGGGGGTGAAATCTTGCAATGCACACACCCCGTTACAGACTGTATACAAAGAGTGACAGAAGCCATCGAAGTAAATAGAAGCAAAAAGTAAATGGGAACCATGACTCCTTTCAGTTAACATTTATTTTTCCTCTTAGCTGGCACAGCAGAAGCTGTGCCTGTAGGGGAGAGGTAGGGAAGTCAGCTTATTGCAAAGAAGTATGTTTTTTTAAACCTGTTTGTTCATACCCTCATCTTCCCACATCTCTCAGCTGGACCATCCTCAGCTAGCCGCAGCACGTACAGATCCATATTATACTCCCGGCCACCTCGCAGGCTAAAGCCAAACCCTTTGGCTCCTCTTTCCAGCTCAACAGTGTAAAAGTCTTGGTCCTGCTGGAGGGAACATAACATATGTGCAATTGAACAGAAAGTTAAATGCTGCTCTACTCTCATTTTTAAATTATTTAACCAACAAATATAATTTTTTTTTTTTACTCATAACTAAAAAAAAAAGAAAATCAATTGAGTTTTCACACACGGACTAGGATTTCCTGCTTCCTCAGATCCCACCCCACAACTTGGAGTGCTGGTGGTGGTCTGCAAAAGGTTGTTTGGATGAATAGGCTTGGCCATGTCCCACTTATTTTTAGGCACCTCTGTTATGCAGCGCCTCCTGTGCCCGGGGCAGAAAGGTCCGTTTCTGGAGGGTGCTTAGTATTCTACCAACTGCAAAGGAAGGCTTGGGCAACCTAATTTCCAGCGCCAGGCTTTAGTTAAGTGTCTAACGGTACCTGGGATGAGTCTATGCCACAGTGCTGGCTTTTCCTGTTTGTTATCACCTCATCCCTTCCTTTGCAAGAAGCTCAGAAGTGCACGCATTGTTCTTCACCAATGCTGTTAGCGCAGGGATGTTTTTAAGCCCCTTAAAAGAAGAGGTTACTTCTGGGACAGCCAGCGGCAAGGAAAGTTAACAGTGAGATAGCTAATCTCTCTAAGATCTTGTCTGCAAACGCTGGAACACTCCAGCTATTGCTCCTTATTAAGTTTTCCTCTCTTTTGTCCTCTGAATTCATCATTTGTACACTACAATACTTTCTGGAGAGGCCCTCCAAAATATATAATTCAATAAACAAGCACACAAATTACTACTGTCAGAAAAATGTCAGCTTTTTTCTTTCTTTTTTTTTTGTTCTCCCTAAAAGTCTTGATGAGAACATGTTGGAAACGTTTCTCAGCTGAAACAACAGCAACACATATTAAGAAACTAATCAGCAAGTTCCTCTTTCTTCAGGCAAACAGACTGAGGGAAAACAGCTTCCCAGAAGGAATTTTCAAAGGAAATATTTGAACACAGCCCTCAAGCAGATTGGAAGCAACAGTCTGTGGTAAACAAATCAATTAGAAAGGTACTCCTTACCTGTGCTGCTTGGGGCGGTTTGAAATCAAACTGGGATTCCTGCTTTGGTTTGGTGTTGTTCCTGCTGTAACGAATGAGAGAAAGAGGGAGAGAGGAAAAATACAGCTCATGGGATGTGAAAGGGGATCAAGAAGTAACCAAAGAGAGAGCATGTCAACATGCTCTCCTCAAGGAAAACAATCTGACCTGGTCTCCTGTGGTATTTGCTGAGGAGTATGTGTGGTTGTAATTGTAGCAATTTTTTCTGCATTGGTCAATAAGGTAGCATTGGAAGATTCTGCAAAATAAAATTTTTCTTCATTATGAGAGAAGACCATTGGCTATTCACTGCATTTTACTGGAAAGCATCATCATGTTGTTTTTAAAGTACTCGAGATTGGCTCAAATTTCTTAAATCCAAAAATTAACAGCATAAACTCTAAACTAAGCCATAGAAATTATGTACATGAAACTATACACTCAATTGGAAAATAAAAAAAAAAAATAAAATTGGGAAACCTGGATTAGAAACACATCTAACCACTAGACACACTCAGAATGAACACTGACTTGTGGAGGAAGGGATGAAGAATGTTTTGTTTGTTGTCTAACGACATGAATTCCAATCACTAAAGTCTCCAAATACGGTAGGTTGACTGGATTAATATTATAGTAGCAATAACTACTCCATGAATTATAGGCTTATCAGTGCTTCCTCCATCAGAAACTGCAATCTTCAGTAGGATTGAGACGTGGCTTTTATCTAATACCTCACAAGGTGATATTGAATGTGGCTAAAACCCAAACTTAGTGGAATACGTTTTTGAAATACAACCCACTGCAGCCTGAGCACCCAAAGCTGCACACAGGGATGTGGAACGACCTGTACCAAATATATCAACAGCTCCGGGTACCATTTACAAAAGGGTTTGCCGAGAATACAGAGAGCAGGATTAACTTCAACACTCAATTTATGCCATGGTAAAGGGCTCCCAGCCCAACATCAGCCTGTGCAAATACCGTATTTCTCTATGCATGGCAGGAGGTGCTTCCAAGAGAGGTCTGCTCTCCTGCTTCACAAAAGTGGGAAGGGAGTTCCTGTAGACACAACTGAAAAGTGACTATCTAGGTGTCCCTCAGAGTATGGCATGGCAAAACAGTCCCCTTGTCATCTTGGACCTTTATCATAGACGTCAGTAAGACTAGAGTTAACCCAGAACTCATTTAAAATTCTGCCTAAAATTAAGGTCGTGTCAATGCCATTAGCTGAGTATTAGCAACATAGTTTTGGCAGAAAGGCCTGGAACTCTTGGATATTGAACTCAACAAATTTTCCAGAAATGCATATTGTATCCATACTGAACTGAAATTAGTACTGAAGAGTTTAAAATTTTGAATTGCTCCAGAAGTCAGCAGTTTTTGAAAACATCCCTTTTCTCACACATGAGTTTGAATTCAAAGGAAGAGTCGGAGGTACACGCTTAACCACTCAAAATGTTGAACAGTTACATTGGTTACATACCAATGAGAGAATGATGGGCACAGTCAATAGAGACACCCATTCATTAGGCATGGCATTCCCAGCTAAAGTCCCTGCAGTGGCAGCACTCACTCCTTTGTGGAACAGTTCTGCACACAGGAGACCCCACCCTCTGTCTAGGAAATGACCACAGATTGCAAGTAACTACAAAATACTGACCACAATCCACTTTTTAAGGTCAAAATCTAAACTGAATGCACAATCACTGGTTAAAACCATGCACCTTCTCTCCTGGCTGAATTTCTCTAGTTCCAATCCCACTTAAAAAAAAAGCCACTGTCAGACAACAGCAACGAAAACCGTGTGGAAAAAAAAAAGCCACTGTCAGACAACAGCAACGAAAACCGTGTGGAAACATCTGGCTTTCCAACATACAATTACAAGGTCTTCTACCCTGCCCTTGTTTGCCTCTTAAGCTCCAGGCATCCGGTAATTCATTTTATTGACTATGGAGAAATCTGCCACATTTAAACAGAGTCCAGCTGTAACACAAAACTGCAGAAATGGGAGGGGTTTTGCCTGAATTAAGGAGAGGTGGTGGTCATGCGCTTACTTGGTCCTAGGAACCTATTTTATTTCATGGATTTATTTTAATTGCGGAGAAATCTATACATGGTGAAGGTTTTTCCTTTCTGTAGCTAGTGCATGTAAAGGGAAACTTAGGAATAGGCAAAGACAAAAAGAAGAACCATTTAAACAGATGGGTGCAATGAGAGCACAGCACTTTGCCTGCAGCACTGTGCCCAAGTTAACATGCCCAAACCCTCAGCATATGGACCTGTAACATCTTCCAGACCAGAGCTGGCTTGTGTCCAGTGGCTCAGAGAGCAAGAGAGGCTCCTGGGTCTGCCTGCACCTCTTGGGGTAGGCATGACCAAAACATGGCCTTGCGAGGACGTGCCATTGACAACTGGCTTGTGTGAGAACGAGACATCTCTGTGTGTGGTTACACTGTTGGATTTTAAGGAATAATTCTGTGTGTTTTGTAAAGATGCCTTCATGCTAAAATTGGTCTCCAACATAAGAAGACCTCAAAACATGGTTAAGTGTTCTGTATTCATCCAGTACAAAAGCCTCTGAAATCTTCCACCAAATATCTGGAGATCAGATGAAGATGGGCTTCAAAGAGAATGCAAGATTCCTACCCTTTAGTAGGTCACACTAAGAATATCAAGTAGAGCAACAACACATCTTCAGTACAGATGTATCTTCACACCACTGTATTGCATCTATCTTTAGCCCACCCTATCCCATGAGTCAGGAGACGTGCATAATTTTGCTAGTTTTTTAGACAGGGGTTCAGGATGCATGCCAGCCACCATGAAAAACTGGAACAGAACACAAACATAGGAAAAACTATCTCTAGTAGAATTACACTTGTACGTTCTAAATCCTACATATTTCATTGATTCCTTGCCCTGTTCTGCCCTAGAACACTCGGACACCAATTAAATGTCTAGTCTAAGCTTGTAATTTTTCAGCTGTCTTTACTCATGCATCAACTGGTAGCACGTTAAAGCATCACAATTTCCTTGCAAATACAGCAGTGCTCTATGGCGATGAGTTGGTGCAAGACTTATTACACAGCAAAAACCCTTGGTGTTTTTAATAATGTTAGAAGAGATTAGCAATGTGAGTTTATTGTGAGTCTTGTGATGAGCCTTAGTTTCACATTTATTTGAGAAGCATGGCTTCTGATTTTTCTTCCCCCCTCCCCCCCTTTAAGTACACTGTTAGACCATTCATATTTACCAAAAAAGCATCCCAAAAGCAACAAAAAGAAAACTACAGATCAACAAAAGCAGCCAAAGATAGCAAAAAGAAAAGAACATTGAGACAAATTTCTTAAATCTAATTTTACTGAGAGCAAACTTCTGAGCAAGTTTGAGTGTCTGGCCTTACTGGCTTTTGGAAATTAAATGCAGGTAATACTACGCAGAGGTGGCAATCTGACCTGGAATTTCAAAGGGACAGTCAATAAAAAGACTTGAAGCCTGCATTGCTATGAGAGAAGAGGGTTGACTCCTTCTCTAAATTACAGCTTTCCGCCTTCTCTGGGAATACCTGATGTCAGCCACAGGTAGAGATCTCCCTCCTAATGTAAGCAATTTAACATGGTATTTTATACACGTATTTGCATGAACAAGACTGGGTGAGCATTCACATCAGCATGTTATGTTCCTCTTAAAAAAATCTTAAACCATTCAAAAGTTATTTATTTCTTATGTATTTTTGCCCTTTTAAAAAGATACATTTATTTATGTATTTGTTTATTTATTCAAAGATTCGCCTTCTTTGATTTTCATCAGATACCAAAATACAGGTAATGAACAATTCTTCTCCCAGTTTACTTTCCAAAACTAGCACCCACAGGCCAGCTCAGATGTTACCCTGATTCACAGCCATTTCATTATTCGGGAACACTCAATTTGCTGGAAGCAGCAGAGGATCATATACCATTTGACCTGGTAGCTACTAAAGAGTAGGAAAATGAAGTTTTTATGCAAAACAGATCACCCTAAACAGAAATAATTTATAACCAGGTCATTTCTCACCCTGGCCTATTTTTATCCTATAACTAAACACAGCACAATCATGCTTTGTGGGGTAAGCAAATCCATGTTTCAGGTCAGAAAGTCCAAGAGTTAGCAACTACTGAATGCTTCTCACTGGAAATCACATCATGAAACTTTATTCTGCTTTACAGGTACCAGAATTCAGCCATATTTTCTCAACCTCTCTTTCAAACTTAATCACGCCTGCTCTATATTTAACTGAATGCAAATAATGTCCTGTACAACTCTAAGAAATGCTCATTAGCACTGTATCTGAGCCATCAAATCTTATACCTGTGGATTCAGCTTAAGAAGAGAGCGATGTGAAAGGATTTCTGCCTAATGAGTTCTCCCTGTGAACCCATCCATGGCAGAGCAGGACAATGAACAAACAAAACACTTAGAATTTAGAACCACAGCAATTTTAGTTCTGCTACAGATATTTTAAAAGTGTTTCTGCTCTGTTTCTATTTGGCATCACAGCTAGGGATCAGTTTCATGAAACTGATATATAACACAGATCCTTATTTTTATTAAATAGTTCCATGACCTGAAACAAGCAGCAAGTGTCAGCACATTATTAGGGATCTTGCTCGTTTCCTCTGATCTGAAACAGTGAGATCCTGTCTAGCGAAACTCTTACGACAGTCGGCTGCAAGCACACAGCAGCTCTAGAGCCGTCGTCATTTAACAAAGTCATTTCAAAATGTACTGAGCTCCCTCCCAAAGCAACTTACCCAGAATAAAAACAAATCTTCTTTCCAAACAGCTTAAAACATGACAAAGTGTTTATCCCTTTCTGTGATCTCTTTACTCTATAGCCTGCTTGTGTATATACAAAGCTTCAGGAATCCCATGTTAACAAGTGATTCCCAAATATTCTGAAGCTGCATTATTAACCTAAGAATCAAAGTGTGCCGAGATATGCATCAAATTTACAAAAGATCATTTTAAGGAGATAAATGGAGGAATATGATAAAATGGAATATTATTTTTTTAATGTAAAATCAGCACCTCCCTGTTCAAAAAAAGAACACCTGTTTCTACAGAAAAAAAAAATTAAAAATAAAGCTGTGGAAGACTCACAGCCTCCCTCACTGATAATTCCCAGAGTGGGAGTGGGAACTGAGTCCTCCATGACTTTGCAGCTCTGACTGATGCAAAAAGCCCGGGAACAAAAACAACAAGAGGGTCAGATAAGACAGCAGGAAACATATACTTTACCATCTCCTGGAATGATGCGCAGGGTAACGGTGTTTCCCGCTTCCTTAATGAGGTTGACGATGTCTGAATGCGACTTGTTGGTGATGGAGCACCCATTCACGGCCAAGATCCGATCGCCTACTTTCAGCTTGCCACAGCGGTCTGCGGGACTCCCTTCAATTATCCGACCTATTTTGTGAGGCATGGCCACACATGCATTGCCCGCTTTTGTATTGGTTTAGGGGTTGTTTTTTGTTTTGTTTTGGTTTGTTTTTTTAAATTGTTTACATACGTGGGAATATGGTGAAGGGGAAAAGGAGAAAAAGGGTTGAAAAGGGAAAGAGGTTAAGGGTTAATTAATTAATGCATCAAGCAAAAGTTATTATAGGATAGCTTTGCTGCCAGTGTTCAAAACATTGGCAATCACCTAGTACGAGTGCACAACGCTTTAGTTCTTTTACAAAAAGGTGTTTTGTTAATCACTCAAAACTCCCCCCACCTTGATTTCTGTTAATAAATGGTGAGATTTTTATAGACTGACACTGCACTTAGAAGCCCCATCGTAACCCAAACCCCGATTTTAACTTTTGAACAAAGAAGTTGAAACTGTTTGTAGAAAACACAGCCTTCCTCCTCCCAGATCACATCGGTGTCAGCGTCTCTAGTCTTTCTCCAAGTCAACTGCTGTTCAAGCTTCTGCCAATGTTTTGTTCTTTCTCAACTCGGAAAGATAAAATTGATCTAAGCCTAGAAGGGAGTGTGACTCCCTTTCTACCAGGAAGACCCAATCTACCAGGACTACATGGGGAAACAACACCAAACGGTTTTCTTCCATTGTGAATAAAGGTGCTACCAGGGAAGGTACAGGACCACTACAGATGGGCCAAGACTGACAAAGGTAATCTGCTGGGTGCAGGCGTGAACCTCAGCCTCTGTTAACCCTTCCCCTTTTATGATCTTAGATGGCATCAGGATGGAAGCAGGGCAGGAATAAGGATCTCCTCATTTAAATACCTCTAAAACCACACACAAAACCAGCGAGATGTCTGACAGACAGAGCAAGAGTGCTTTAGGATGAATGTGTTTTGGAGACAAAACTCTCCTCCCGTTCCATGCAATTGTTTGTCCCAAAAACCCAGCGTCATCCCTAAAATGAAGAATTGAGATACGGGGGATACACAACTTCCTTCCGATAAATCCATTGGGTTTTTGTATGGCTTCCTTACATGGGCAAGAGGCCCTCAGGCACACAGCCATGACATTCCCAGAGTGGTCAAGCTCATACTTTGCATTCACAAGACATTCACCCTCAAGATGCACCTTCCCATCTGTGCCATAGTCTTTATTTGATTAGTAGTTTTAGAGATACACATTGCTGCACACACAACAACACTAGAAAGACCATAAAGAAGAAAAGGCTAAGAAAAGGAATGTGAGGGGAGAGAATAAGGTTGGAAATATGCAATGAAAACTGGCAGAAAGTGTTAATATCAGTTGCAAACGGTGGGGGGATTTTTTTTCCTTTATTATACTGTGATGTTAGAAAGTTTCTCTTTTTAGAAATTTAAAGACCCAAAGGCTGTATTGAAGGTATGTGAAATGAGTTCCTACTCTGTCCAATCAACTGGACACAGATGATTGGGCCCACACCAAAGTGACCCAGGTGGGTTTTAGAACCAGTCTGGCCCATCTCTAAACACTACCCATAAAAGAAAAAAAACTACAAAGCAGGTCCAAAGCAAGTACCACGCAGCAGAGGGAACACATCTCATGCAGAGTATTAGGAAAAAGCTGAATACACTTGAAAAAAATTAAAGGAAAAACAGTCACAGATCAACAGATCTCCATGAGGAGCCCCTGCACAGAAAACTTCCAGTTAGCGAGTGTCTTGGCTAAAGCAAACATCTCTTTACAACCTCAGGCCAAGGTTTCTCTGCAGAAAAGAGTTAGAGCATAGTCTTCATACAGTAAAAGTTATTTACACACACATTTGCAAATACTTTCAGAGGACAAAAGCTCTCTCTGCACTCAGTTTAATCTATATTACATCACACCGTAGTGTTCTGGCACCAAAATACCTATTCTAGAAGAGCAGTTTCAAGCAGCCAGGACAGTGCAAGGTAGCCTAGCACCTCGGAACTGACAGAACTCGATGCATGGGGTCTATACTAGATATTTCCCCCCTGAAATCTCTGCTGCCATGACTGCCCAGAGCAGTGTTAGAAATGGCCTGTTCTGCATCAATACCAGCAGAGGAGGGGATGGTCCCCTGACTTATTAGCAATGACACTGCTGATGGGCAACGGCAGGAAATTTCAGAGAAAAAAGCCCAGAAAAAGAAAGGGGGAAAGGCCACTTATTGCCACATGCACCTGAGTGCCCCAGGGACTTTCCAGCTGTACAGGGAGACTGCAATGTATTTTGTCTGCAAACCACAACCCTGCTCTGAGAGGTAGTGTGAAGACAGCCAGGGCACTTGTTCTGTCTTTCCCCCTCCATTCTTCTCACACGCCACAGACTAACGGGGAATGAACACCTTATTTTTTGTCTACAAAGTACAGGTGGATGCTGCCTCTGGCCCTTTTGGAGGAGATGGAAAAGGAAGAAAACAGCCTCCCTGACTGGTTTCCCCCTTGCAATGCCATTTCTGCTCTAGAGCAGGCTGTTCCATGCATACTTGCAGAACCAGCTTATGTACACCTGGAAATGGGTGTCTCTGCCTAGCCGAAAGGACTGCCTTCAGAAAGAAACCATGACCACCCCTATTAGGGCAGGATTGCACGAACTTCATTTCCCCCTACTCTGAAGAAACGGATTTGGGAAGAGGTGGAATAAGTCAAAAAAACATCCCTGTTTTTTTAACAATATTCTCTATTTCATGCCTCACCAGCAAGCACTATTAATTAAAACTTTCCAGCTATCAGCATGCTCACTCCATAATGAGGATCAGTATAACCCTGATTGCCAAAGAGAACTTAATCAGTTTAAGCGTTACTGCTTTTAAATCAACTGGCTCAATTACACCATCAGGAGACATATTTCATTCCACCTGCTCCATTTCTGCATTAGCAAACAGCATCACTGGGGGGGATCCCTGGCTGCTCTTCTGAGAGCAAACCCCAGAAAGGCATCCAGCTACTAGGGAGAGCCAGAGCTTCAGGGACCATCAGGAATTGCCATTGGTGACATTTTGGTCTTCAACTTGAGATTTCTCACTTTACTTTTCTCGAGTCGGTGCTGAACAAAACCCAGGAGGCAAACACCTACCAAAATCTTGGCCTCTGATTAAGCTACTAATTACATTAATTAGGGCACGCTCACAACTTTTAATTAAACAGATCCCCACTCGTCTCCTTGTGCTGCAGCGCTCAAATCTATGTCTTATTCGAGGTGTGTTAAGAAAACCCCAAGACTTACCGAATGTCGTCCCCGCCTCTGGCCTGCTCACCGACGAGACGATGACGAACCCGAACCCCTCATTTTCGCCACGGCGGATTTCCACATCGTAGGGCTGGACCACAGTGCTGACCACGCCGCTGCCCCCGCCGCCACCGCTGCCGATGCCGCTGGTGCTGCCGCTGCCGGAGCTGACGGTGTTGAGGGAGTTCTGGCTGCCCTGCGGCGTTCGCTTCTCCTCCGTCAGTGAGGCTGGCTGGTTGCTGCTGTGGTGGGAAGAAGCTGGGGATGGGACTTCATTCTCTGCCTTTGGAACTGGGGAGGGAAAAAAAAGAAAGACTGCTTGAGCAGGCTGAACCATTTAGTGCTTGAAAAGTGATGACCACTGAGAAAAAGGTCAAAAAAAATAAAAGGCAAATAACCTGCTTTAATCTATACATTATGGCCATAATGATCAAGGGCTTGGTCTCCTTTCAGATGTCACCACCAACAGCTCTCTTTGGTGACAGCACTGACCACACATGCCCACCCTCTCCAGTGTACGGTCATGCAGCTGAAGCCTTCTGCTGCCCAACTACAGCAGATGCTCTGTGGCATCTTAAACCTGGATTACACGAGTTCAGAGGCTCCTTCTCTAGCTACCACATTCCCACTTCAGTTATATATGTGGAACTGTGTTTATGGGCACAAGCCGCAAAGAGAGATAGTATCAAATACTCATCACTCAACACCTGGGTATTTTTTAACTCAGTGCTATCAGTTGGGTAGCACTGATTGCCTTTGATTAACATGATCTTAAGTAATAATAACCACCCATACTAAAGCAAAACAAATTGAGAATCAAGCTTTTCTGGATGGAAGAACCAGCAACCACCATCTGGACAGTGTGGCAGTTGGGGGGGACCATTCAAACCATTCGACATTATTAACATTAACATTAAACAAGTGTTTAACAGCAACTGAAGTTGGAAGTGGTATTAGTTTAAAAACTAATCAGGTACCAAAAGTCTTGAAGAAACCTCAAAAAAAAAATTGCTTAGTCCATACTCTGCTCAAGTAAGGGCTAACTGCACTTACTGTCAGTCCTGACAGATGTTTGTCTAATCTGCTGTTAAATATCTCCACAGGCAATCTACTGGTTGCAATATCTAACTTAAATCTTCCCTGCTGCAACATAAGGCTATTATTTCTAGCTCTATCTAGCAGGCATATGGAGAACGTATTATTCCCTTCCTCTCTGCAGCAGCCTCTTATAGTCTTGGGGAATTTAACACCTCCTCCCCCTTCTCTGTTTTAGGCTAAACAATCCCAATTTGTTCAATATTTCCTTGCAGACCATGTTTTCCAGAGCTCTCCTTATTCTCACTGGTCCTCTGGACTCCCTCCAGTTGGGCTCTCTCCCACTTAAACATGTCTTTCTTGAAGTGTTGGACCATATTGCAGCTAAGCCATCATCTGCTGGGAAATCAGGAGAGTTCCCCTCTGCCTACACCCCAGCACAGTGCTTTTCTTCACCTGAGCCAACCTCAGGTTAAAGCTTGTGGCCCGCAATAGGTTCCACTTCTTGTTCCTCAGCCAGTTCTCCAGAGTCTATTTGCAGAGCTGAGAGCAGCATACTGCACTTGTCTCTGCTAAATGGCTGCCTCCGCTAATCAGGTCACTTCTCCAATTTGGTAAATCAAAATGAAGTTGGAGAGCTTAAAAGCAACAAGAAGAAAATGGATGCCAAACAAAATCTAAACCGGGAAACCTATGATCCAGAGAAAAAAACAACTTTAAAATATTCTTGGATAGAAGTACTTGTCTGCAGTTATATATTCAACATCTATGTACTACATATATAGTATTCTACATATTCATAATACAGGAGTATAAACTTCCCACTGTATGAATCTGAAGACATGGAGTACCCATTTAGGTGAACAATCTTTTTCTACTGGCATATAGATGAGAGGAGGAATAAGGGATGGAAATTCAGGAAGAGGCTTCTCTACAAAGTTATGGTGGAATTTAAAAGCCTGCAAATCTAAGGTGAAAGAAGGGATCCTGAATAATTTATCCTAGAGTAAGTGTCCACATTTGAAATGATTCAGAAATAGCTCAGTCTGGAGTAACAAACCCCTGAATGAAATATCAAGGGTTTTTATCGAGATCTCTCATGCATCTAAATCTTTCATGGTAATTTCCAGCCTGAAGGCTGTAAAACTGGAGAGAAAATTTACACACAAAAGCAATACAAAAAATTCAGCTGGCCTTCCCCTTCCTCCAAAACCTCACCTCCTAAAGCTTCTCTCACATTGGCAGCTCTTTGTCAGGAATGAGAGAGAGGCTATTAGAGCAGAGACATAACCCAACATTTAATCCCCAATGAGAAGGAAAGAAATGAGAAGTTAACATTTATTTAATACTGTGCAGAAGCGGCTCAGCCCTGGATAAGAATACAGAGCTGGTTTAGAGGTACTGCTCTAGTCCCACCTTCCACTGAGCCTAATTTTCAAGCTGAATGTTATTTTGATGCTTTTTAAAGTACATCACTGCCTATTTTTTTGCTGATGCCTGAACTTGAGAAGCTATATAATGTTCTTTCTTTTGAATAAACTAAACTGAATCCTACACTTGAGCTCCCTAAAGGGACTCACAAGAAGAGGCAGCACCCCAGGGTTACTCTCCAATATCAAGCACATGTCATTCAGAAAGATCATGCCGTGTCATCATCTTCGTTGCTAAAAGGACATTTTTGTGTCACTAATTGGGGTGCCACCAGGCAGTGTCACTTCTCTTTGCACCTCTGTCTTTCTGCCAGCTTCTTTTTTGTCCATTTAGACCATACACATGTGCAGCGTGTGCGCAACGTCTAGCATCACTCAGCACACAGAAACCTCTCGCAAACATGCACACTCTGCACTACCTGAAACAATGACTCTCATAGTTTTGCATCCTGCGGTTAGCTGACTACATGTTGCAGCCCCAGCTGAAGCTCCTCCTGTGCCTGGGACGTGAGCCATTAAACACCAACGTGCTCACTCACGCTCTGCCCTTGCTTCCCCTCCTGTGGACACTTCAGCATCTTTTCCCTCGCTCCCAGTTTAAGGATAGCTGTCAGGCAGCACAATTATTTTGGGAATTAAATAGAAAACACAGGCCACCAGGCACAGTGTCGGTTGCTGCATGAGTCCAACTAAAAATGGTATGTTGCAGCTGAACAGCTCCTGGTTTATCAGAAGCCTTCACCAAGACCGGGGAAGCCAAGTGAGACTGAGAGGGTCTTGACTGAAAACAAAATATTTGAAACTTATTTGATCAAGAACAAAAAAGACTAGGCAGAAAGGGAAGAATAACACCACACCCCATGAGTTTTCCCAGTATTACAAGGAGGAGCTTTTTTTCTTTAACCTGTTTGCTGAACAGATGGAGTCTGGCAAGAAAATCTGCCCCTGCAGAGCGACGCTATAGCCTACCTGTGTAAACCACTTTGCGCCTGACGGTCAGATTGACATGACCTTGTTTGGCTGCCTGCTGCATAAGCTGGACGACAAGCTGGTGTGATTTCCCGACAACAGGCGTCCCATCCACGCAGATCAGTTCGTCACCCGATCTCAGGCGGCCGTCGGCATCAGCAGCACCCAGCGGTACAATGTGACCGATGTAAATCTGATAAATTAGCACAAATCGGAGAAAGGAAAGAAAGACAGAAAGCAAAAAAGAAAAAATATTGATAAATGAGAACTAGCTCAACAGCCAGCTGGAAGCAAGGGGCACTGGTAGTTACACCCAATTTAGTAGGGAAATTGTTGACCAATGTCTGCTGGTCAGGAAGGTTGCTCCTGTGGAAGCAGCTCCATGTGAATACAGCCTCATCATGAAATTGTAATAAATTTATATCTTGTTTCTTTAGGCAGTCCATTCACTCTAATGACAGATAGCCTTGGGAAATGTGTTCAACCAGACAGTGACCAGAGAGGAAGATGGTTAAAAGCACTGAGGGTCTTGTCAGGGAGGCTGAGATGAAGTTATCCTTTCAGTCGCCTCTAGGGTTTACAAGCTCCATACCACTCGCCTGTCCACCAACTGAGTCTTGGTTTATCTTCAGTGAGTTCTGTGGAGTTACTCTAAAACAAAAGGAATTCATGGCCTCTCTTTCCATAAATGAGCAAAATAATTTTGGCAGGGAAATACACGGAAATTTTGCTGCCACTATGTAGCTTTGACCTGTGCAGCACATGGAAGACCACATTTTTAACTTGACACCTTCCACAGGCACTGGATTTATGGTAAAGTTGTTCAGTGAATTCAAGGAGGGAATTGAGCTAATAGAAAAGCCGACACTCTAAGATCAAAATACTTGCAAACCTGACCAGGACATCCTCTCCTTGGTGTCCAGGCAATTTCAGACCTACAGCTTTTCATTTGGGCTACCACAAAACCAGGGAATAGCAGGGAAAGCCAAACTCACTTAAATTATGAGAGTTTTGGTTTGGTTTTTTGGAGGCAGAGTGGGGAGGAGTTGCTGGATGTAAATACGTAGCCCACTCATTATTTTAACAGAGATGTCACAGCACAGTCCTGCACAGCTGTATATGCTACTGCTGTGATTCCAGAAGATGCCATGAGTTAAAACAAGACCACTTCTAGATGTACTCACAGGTTCTCCAGGCTCATTTCCACCCAGAATCCTAAATCCAAAACCAGTTTCCTTTCTCCATAGAAAGATGTCCTGCTCTTGGTAATCTGGAACTGAAGGAAAAGAAGGAAAACTATAATTTTTAATCAAAACCCCACACCTTCATACCCAAATCAGGACTACTGTGATGTACACGTGGAGGGATCTGCCGCACAGTTTTACTCTTTAATGAGGTAGCCTTGAATTTTTATACATAATTAAGAACATCTATAGGTTTAGATACTAAAGGATTATTATTTAGATCACTAATAAAAATTATACAGTGGTTTCTACTTTCTAGTTGCCTAATTGTGACTCACCATTTGTTTATCACTATGATATTTCCTTCATTCAACATTAGCATCATTACCCAGTGCAAGAGCCCCTTCCAAATCATCAATAAACAAATGCGTGCAACAGAGAATCACTCTGCTAGAAACAATACAGCTGCCTCCTCTTTCACGAGAGACAAAAGATCCACTTGTTATGACTTCTACTGTTTAATTAACTTTCAGAAGCACAGTTTGCTATCCGACTATTGACACTGCTTTAAATAACTATGGGACAGATCCACGGGTGGTGTAAAACAGAAGGGCTCACTGAAAGCAAAGCAGCTCTCCTGACTCTCACTTGCTCATGTATGGGCTCTGTAAAACCCCTGAACAGACAAAACCAGCTGGAAACATAAAAAAGCCCAACCTTACCTACTCATTAGTATGGAACACCAGCAAGGTTTTTACAATGAATATTACATTCAGTGAAGTACTAACCTTGAAGTGCGGTCGAACAGTAATGTTTTATATTAACTTATTCATGCCTGCTTTCATCCCTTTTTTAAAAATGCAAAATTAATTGCTAACATTAAATCATATCAGAAGACAACTTCAGGTTCATTTAATATTTATTGGTTAGTATCTGTAACATTGACTAACTTTGTAATGATCCCCTCCCAAAATTTATAATTAATGATACAAAAAAGCTGTTCCTTTAAAAGTCAGCTGTCTGTATCTTTAGTAAAAAAAAAAAAAAGTATTTTGTTCAGAATGTAATTTAAATAAGTGCATACTCAGATACGGGATGCAATACATATAATGAAACATGATCCAGTTTTCTGCAACTGATTGTTTTCCACTGACATCAGTGAGTGCCAGACTGGGCCCTAACTACATCTTTACACTGTCGGTGCCTGTTGTGCAAAAGTTTGGGTCTAGTCATCTGGTGCTTTCCAGTGTAAAGACTTTTGGCTAGCTCTGATGCTCTCTCTTCAACGACTCAACAGGTTAAGACCTGGGAATACCAAAAATTAAAAGAATAAGTGGGTGCTCAGGCACAGATGTCTGGTTTGACATTTTCATTCCAACTGGTTTAAGCCATTGGTTCTATAGATGATATTTTCCACATTCTAATTACTTGCAGTTCTAAACTAAGCTTAAGATCCGTGCACATTACTTTACTGCACTAGAGGCTAATTTTTGTCGAGATACAATTACAGAACAATCAGGTGATGAATGTGCTGGAAGCCAGCGTGGTTCTTCTGTTCAGGAGAGCTGGCTGAAGGCAGCTTGCCACCATACAGACGTGTGGCACAACAGCAGAACTTAGACGATGAATTAATTGGTGTTTGTTACTGCCTTCAGCGAGGGGGAACGCGAAGAGCGGACACATTCAGAAGCGTCTCTCCAGCACTTTGCAGGCTTTTTTTGGCAAAGCCTGGCCCCAACCAATTAATAGTGTTTGCTGGATCTGTCAGAGCCAAAATGACTTCTGCAGAGAGTTTCAGCGTGGGCTCGTTTCCTCGGCATCTCTCAACACCTTCCCGTTTGTCAACTCTCCAGCCTCACTGAACGATGCCTTATGTTCCCAGTTTGTGTACCAGCTAGCCAATTAACGGCTGCTGGGGATAACAGCAGTGTCAAACCAAAGCAGCAAAAAAACCCACAAGTCTATACCCAAAGCAGCAAGTTCATTCACGTAACACTCCTTCTGCTGGAAGGATTAGAGAGATGTAACACAGATACAACAAACATACAGACAACGCACATTTACACAGCATGAGTGCAAACCGAACAAAACTCCTCTTACCACTTTTTGCGCCAACTCTGCAGTATGGTGATTCACTGGCACAGCCCAGAAAACTCCATCCACCTCCCGTGCTTCCACACAGCTGAGGTGGGACCCCCCGAGGCTCTCCATACTGGAGAATCACTTTAGGTTCTCCATTATTCAGTAGCACTTCAGAGGAGCCACTTACTTAAAGGGAAAATTTCATGGTGGTACTGAAACTTTGCTGAAAATTAATGAAAAATGGCCTCCAGGAGTCATTCATGGCACTTTGCACCTTGACCCGATATCAAGCATGTCTGACTCTACCTGAAAAAACTGTGTACATAGCCCAAATGGGTAAAACTTGTCAGTCTGCCCATCGTGACTTAAACCAGACCATTTGGAGAGCGCTGCAAAAGTGGTAAGAAGACTTCTGCTGGGGCTGCGAGGAGGAATGGAAAGAGAGGCAAGTGCCACAGCCATGTTGAAGACCCACATGGGCAGACTCATGAACAAAATGGGAATATGACACCCCCCAACCACAGCCTACGAAATCCACCGCTAACCAGTACACAGTAAAGCAAGTACTTTGCGCCTTCGTGGCTAACCTTGGCGTACGGCCCTGCCAGCCTCCCTTGGTGATGAAGAGCCCCCCGCCACAGAGCAGCAATGACACCAGAACAAGACATCACAAGACACAGATACATTCTCGGCACAGTCTTACATTCTCCAAAACTCGTGGAATTGATTTCTCTCTCTCTCTCACCCTTGCTCAGTCCAGTTGCAGGCGAAGGTGACATAGCTGTAATATTAATTTTACAATTTTGCAAAGCTTAATGTATTTGCTTTTGTGTTAGTTCATTTAATTAATTTTGACTGTATGGATCATGTTAGGCTTTCATGCACATAATTGCTAAGGTTATAGCTACTATGGATTACAACATACTAACACACCTTTCTGTACATGTCTGTGTACATGTGGATATAGAATACACACACACACACATGAATTTATACATTTATGCACATGCATGCAGGCATATCTGAAGAACCCTTTTTTCTCCTTGGAGGAGGAATTGTTTTAGGAACACTTTAAAAATACTTTTCTAAAAAAAAAATAATTTCACTGTCATGACACAGTTAGTTTTCCAAATGGGAATATCTTTTTCTAATGTTAAAAGAAATTCTAAATACATGGTGATGAAAAATGAACATAGTGCTTAATTAGAGGTCATTTTAATCAAACTTTAACAATTATCTTACACGTTATATAAAAAAACCCCAACTCTGCCCAGTGTGATATCAGTTTTAACAAAAGATGGATTCAAAACAATCAGTATGAGCTTGCTTTAGTCACTGGCTCATTGAAGGCAGCAGCACTTCCAATGACTCATACCTTGGCAAAGTACAAAAGTTTTAAGGCCCAGATTCACCAAAGCATACAAGGACAAATATGAAATTAAGAGTGAATAATCTCACTGAAGCTGATGGAGAGTTCTAGTGTTGAAAAGTCCTGTGATTCAGCCAGAAATCTCGTGAGATTCCAGACCTGCAGGAAAGCCCTGTTTTCTAAACTATCCCCCTGCAAGAGAATTCCAGTTCTTCTGTCTTTTCCTTTCAATCAACCCCTCTGGTAGCACGGAAAGCTTTTGAAAGATGGCTTCAGCATGTTCTCGACAAGAAGACTAAGTTCTGTTGCTGAGGTCCAGGGAAGGCGTGATACCTCAGCTGAGCCATGGACCAGGCTGGTGCCAGACAAACACCAGCAAATTCTGCCCATGAAGCAGCTCCAGAACAGCTCTGCAGCCTCTGCTGCTCACGCAACATGCTGCGAGTACCACAGTCTGTTTTAGCAAGACATCCTCTAAGGGCATGGACACATCTGTGTGCCCAAGTGTATGACTGTAACTGTTTGTCTCCTATTAATATAATAAAAGGACATAACCCTACCAAGGGGCTTGTATTAACTATCATCTTTAAAGACAGTCTGATCAGAAAGCAGCTGCAATTTCCTGAGAGTATTTTTCTTTTCTATTTTAGGGAGAAAGTAGCTAATGTTTGGTATCATTGTGCAAATATTTTTAATTTTATGTAATTGCTGGTGAGTGAATGCTACACACTGGGGTCAAGACTTGTTTGTATTATTTTAATTAGATTTGGGGAGAGAAAATCCTACTAAATAAATTATGTGCCTGAAAATAAAATTCAGATATTAACGGTAACTTAGAATATTTTAAAAGCTTTAAAAATTATCTATCATGTTCTGCTTTACTTTTAATTAAATGCTTAAGCCCTTCAAAGGGATTCATTAACACATCTGCAATTCAGATTAATTCATTTTGTCACTGCTGTTTTGACAGATGGCCATATGTAGGATATGGTATTTTGCAAAGTAATCAGGCCACACGAGAAAAATTTGACAACAGATTGCGGTAATCTTTAAGGAAGTTTAATACTACACTGAAAAATAAAAAGCATATAATAAAAATATATTTTCAACAAAACAGTGCAAGATTTCAGAATTGCAGTTCTCTGACAAACTATTCAATTGCTGTTTCCCTCACCAAGTGTTCTTCACATATGTCACTCCTGGATCTTGGAAACACTTCAGTTTTTAAACCTTAAGGGTTTGTCCCTCTCTGACTCATGTACACAACTCCCACCAGCAGCAATGAGCTACCCATAAAGAGGAGCTCAGGCAGCTAAAACTCAGCACCAGCAAACAGTGCATTTGTTAGCACCAGCAAACGATCTGTTTTCAGATTCACTTAACACAAAGCCGGCTATTCTCAAAAGTCTTAATCCTGCAAAGAATTGCGACTCTGGGCCGGATTGCAGCACAGCATCTGAGCTCAGCCTTAGCCTCAAAGCATCCAAGCCCCTGAGGGTTTACAGCTTGAAAATAAGCTTCCTTGGACTGGAGCCCAAGCACTCAGCACCTTGCAGACCTGATCTCCGCACCCAGGGGAGCAGCATGGGAAGGAATGTTGAATAAAGTTGCAGTTCTCATCTGCTGCCACTCAACCAGAGTCCAGACACAGTTATGGAGCCATTGGTTAGCTTTGCATTATTAATTGTACCTTAATTTTTCTTTTTTTTTTTTTTTCTTCCCGTAAACAGGCAATGTCTGTGGTTCCCCTCCGCAGAATCTGAGTACTTCCTGATATTAAAATGCATTGGGTAAATCAAAAAGTACCTGCTTTTACAAAATTATGGGTTATCTGGGGCTTTTGAACCAAATTCTGCTCTACCAATAGCTTCAGCGAGACAAGTCACATAAGTCAAATATTCTTTTTTAATGAAATACTGATCCAAAGAATACTCAAAGAAGGAAGAATGCATTTTCCCAATTATGAAAAATTAAAATGTTTCTTGTGTGCTTTCCATGTCTACATTATTAATGTTAATAACAGTGGGATGTATTCCCAGTGAAAAAGGCAGTAGGTGGTTATTATAGATTCGGTACTTCTTAGAAACATCCTGGAGATGATGTATTCATATATTGAATGAAACCTCTTTATATTATTATTTTTAGATGAAAAAAAATTCTGTCTGGGCTGGGGCTAATGAATTAATCTTTTTGTGTCAACTGCACTTGAAAAACTGCACTATGTTCTCTTTATACTCAACAATTTCACAAATGGGATGAAATACAACACTGACGATGATCTAATGCTCTAAAATTCTGTCTTTTTAAACCTCATCATATACTTCAACACAAATGGTTGTTGCTGTTTTTCAGTCCACTTGTTGGAGATTCAAAACCCTGCCTCTTAAAAAAACATTTTATAATCCTTTTCAGGCTTATTAAAATTTAAAGCCATGAATCAACAGAGAGCAGCTCCTGGACTGGGCAGCAGGGAGAGCTGGGAGAGCTGAGCTGGGTCTCCCCGGGCAGTGGAGGCTTCCAGGACCCACCAAAAGCCCCAGTTACAGGATGCATTAGCCAATCTCAGCACTGGCATCCTCCTGCTGTACCCTCAGCTATTCATTTAGTTGTGCTCATGTCTCCATCTGAAGAACACAGAGAGAGTCACATTGAGCACTCAAAGCTATGGGTGCCATGGGAGAGGAGATGCTCACCTCAGTCCCAAAGCCAAGGGCAACGGGTGCTCCAGCAAAGAAGAAAGCAAGGATGTGACTGTATCACTGCAAGCCAAAGGAGGCACCAGAGTTAAACCGAACCACAGCTGGGTAAGAACATGAAGAATAGCACATGTGGAGCAGACAGACAGTGAAACTGGAGGCCTGGGGAAGGGTTTCTCCCATCCTGAAGTTTGTGGTGCTCCATGTCAGCAGAGCTCCCTACAAGTGGGTCCAAGAGCCACACAGCCAGTGCTTGGGCAACACTGGGATGTGAGTCTCAAAGGGATGACTCACGTTCATAACAGAGCACCCACCAGTCGCCTACTTTTCATGCAGACTAATGGTGGCTCACCCTACACTCCCGGGGCAGAAGAGACACTGGGTTTCAGCTGTGAACCACAGTTTCCATTTATGAGACTCCTGAGAGGGATGAAAGGTGAGGAAAGGAGCAAGAGCTGACCACTGACCTCCAAATAAAACCACCAGTCACACTTTGGGATCAGATTGCGACAGGAGACAGAGCATGTCCAACTGCCCTCTTCACTTAGACTGTATCTTTCCTGTTTTTCTTTACCTCTCATTAGGCGCAGCAAAGCCATGTCACAAGGTAAGAGGGAAGGTTAAGCCCCAGGGAATGTGTTTCACTCCAGCTTAGGGTCGGAAATTCATAGGCTCTTGGACACTTTTACAAGGAGACATGACCATATCACACTTCTGCCATTCTCCAGAAGCCCTCTACCTATGAAACCAAGAAACCTCATCAACTCCTCAACCTCAATCATTCCTTCCTGGAAAGGAAATGGCAATGGGAGGCAAAGGTGGTAGAAAAGCACTGATGTTCAAACAGGTAGGGCTCACCTAAGTAGAAGAAGAAGGAGATAAGGATTGAAGCAATAGAAGAGGATCAACCCCACTACATAGATGCTGGACCATGGAAAGGTGAGATAGGGAAGGTGAAGAGGTGCAGCAGATCCAAGTCTAGCAAAAAGCCCAAGCAGAGAGGATTGTGGCACAGAGAGAGATGGGGTGTGGGAAACCAGCAGGTCAACAGACGGTGAAAAGGCCTCTGGAACGACTCTAGTCACAGACAAGGATAAAACCCATACAAGATACCTGCAGCCATCAAGGAAAGAGGGAGGATTTAGCACATGATGTTGGAGGTGGACACGGAAGGGCGGCTGCCTGCCTGTGCACTTCAGGATTTCTCCGGCTCAGCCTTGGGTTTTATCGGGAAAGACAGGCAGGAGTTAAGGCTGCTAAGCTGATACTAATGACTAATTAGTATGAGTTAAACAGTTAATTAGAAATTAGCTAAGTAGCTGCAGGGGGTCAGAAGCAATGCCAGCACAGTGCCTCTGGGAACCACAGGAGCTCAGCAAGGGTGATGGCCGTGCTACAGGACGGATGGTGGCCTCAGCCTTCTCCGTCCAGGCAGGAGAAGGAGGAGCTCTGCCTGCAGCTCTGCAGGGCTGAAGAGTCACCGTCCCTCAGCTCTTGCACCTTTTTTCTAGTTCAACAAGATGCACGCGCAAGTTCCGTCACTGCGCCTCTCTGTAGATCAGCGTGACCTAGCCCAAGAGCCCGCAGGGTCAGCACGCCTGATCCCTGGGAAGGGAAGGGAAGCACCGCACAGAAGCTGAGACACCTACAAACTGCATTGCTGAGACATCCAATGTGAAGAGATGCAACTTCAGCCAAGAAGCAGTGAGTCATGATTTAATTTTTCCAGGACATAAGACTTCAAACTGATTCATTTGGTCAGAAAAAAACAGTCCTACCATTTCTCATTCTGGGGTAACGTTCATTTCATACAGGTTTTACCAATTTCCAGTTAGCACGATAAAATCAAACTCCAGGTGATACTCTTACTCTTCAAGACTTTGAAACTCCCTTTTCTGTAACTAAAGTAACGATTGCTTTTGAAAATGAACCTAATACTCTAACTCTTTCTTCAAGAAGCTTTTACAGATTTGATTATCTTCTGCAGTGCAATTAAAGCAAAGCCAGCATGTTTATTTTGTTTGCAGAGAAGAAACTGATTGAAACCATATTTATAGTCTTGGAGCAGAGTCAAAGACCTGCCGAACTATTAGCCAAATGTGCAGATTATTAATTGTCATAAAAGCCACTTAGAATATGCATTTGATATCTGTAGTCCACTCTGGTCAAAGTAAAACAGCTCAGCTGGATTTTCTCCTCCCCAGGGGGAGACTGGAAAGCATCTGATATGAATTTCAGCAAACTAAATACTTCCCTCCTTACTGACGTTCCTGTGCATATCAGACAGCGAGTCTTAACCTCAAAAAAGAGCTTAGGATCTGGATAACAAACTTGGAAATTCTCCGTCAGCCTAATTTAAAAGCAAAATAAAAAAAAATAGGGGAAAAGATGGTCTTTAATTTTAAAGGGATTTTTCATATTAAGCTTTGGTCTAAGTGCCCTTTTCTACAGATGATCTAAATTCATTCCTCATCAGAGAGAAAATTGCACTTCTATCAGGTAGACATCACTGACAGATACCAAATTAACAAACTGAAGCCTTATCTTTTCAATATAAAGCTAAAAGATTCAGTTCTTTGCAAAGAAAATATACAGAGAGCAGCTGCCAGAGCCGTAGCCTTAGCAACCACACCTGCTTCATACTCACGTCGGCTTTCATACATGCTCCTGGACTGGGCCCAGATTTTGAATGGATCTGGCTTTTTCTGCCCAGAACCGTCCGGTTGATCCGCAGCCGGCGCCTCAGCAGCAGTGTATTCCGGCAGCACCTGCGTGCTGTGAACGGGGGAAGCGGTGTGCCCGCTGCGGTGGCTGGAGACGCTATGCTGAGAACTGTTTTGGCTGTCTTTCCTTTCAAGTGGTTGCTGTAAGGAAGAAAGCGAGTGGAAAGAGAGAGAACAGACGGTTATTGGTCTCTGAGTGGGTGTTTTCCATCAATTTTTCTTCCTTCTTTGATCAGGGTTTCTGCATGCACATAAGTAAATATATAAGTCACAGTTTTGCTGCCACCAGTTAATGCCGGGTACAGTTAAATTCCCCAATGACAGATTTTGATAGGCAGACTGACAGAAAGAGATATGCAAAACAAAGTCATTTATCACAAAATAATATGCAGCTCTGCATCTCACACATAAAACAAATCTAAATCTCATTATAGGTTACTAGTTTCAGTGCACTTATTTTTTCCTGCATCAAGGTGGAAAAACTCAACAACCTTCTACTCAGATAACATTAGAGTCTAACTTGAGACTGCAAGAAAAATTAAAAACTACTAAATTTCTCTGCAAAAACTTAAACATTCCCTCTGAAACAGATTCAAGCACAGACCTTACTATGAAAGATAACTTTTCCTCTGCAGCTCTTGCAACCCCCACAACAGCAGTGGGTGGACACCAGAGTACCACTTTCCCGTCTCTGCTTCCCAGAGCATCCACAGGATTACACCAGACCTTCACAAATGTGAAAAAGTCTATTTGCAGTTTGATTTCCTTGTTTTAATTCAGCATATTAAAACAGGAAAAAATACGTCCGCCTAAATTCAAGGCTTATTCAAAAGCAGTATGTCAAGAGCTCTGTCTGCTCAATATTTAGCTAAGCAGGGTACATAATTCTTAACTCAAATTCACAACGGTGTGATCAAATGAAGAATAAGTCAAATTTGCATCGCCAGGATTTGTATTACTCAATATGCAGCAAAATCCTCCCTCTACAAGAGCTCCCCAAACTGTACAGCAAATGCTTTTTAACGCTCTTTTGAGATGACCTTTGGTTGGCATCAAGGCTGAGTCCCCTCTCCCACCTGCTCAGGCACAGGGACCTGGCACCTTCCCGGGGCTCCAGTGACACAGAGGGTGGCTGGAAAAACAGCATCTTACAGGTTGTTGTACAACATCAACAATTTCCTAGCTAAAAGGGGTCAGTCACTCGTATCAAGAAACCTCAGACAAAAATTTAAAGCTTCCTTCTGGCAAGGCTGCCCAAAAACATTGCACCAGGAGTCTCTGCTTTCAGGGACTTCTCCACAGCAAACCAAGCAGGGGTGGGGAGAAAAGCCAGCAGCAATCACAGAGTAGAGCAGAACGGGGGGGCTGAAGTGCGCACAGGTCTGGGGACCCCCTCCTTTACTCTGAACACAAAACCCCAGGCAGCCAATGCTCCATCATAGCTGGGCTGAATTAATTAGAGAGGAGAAAGTCAATGTACAAAAGTGCCCTCTTTCTGAGTTTTAATAATAATATTTTCTGCTTTCTTTTTTAAGTTGCACACATTTGTAGGTTTACACTTGTGAAAAGAAAAAAAAAACCAGCTCCAACAGCCCAAATGACTTTGACCTCCCAGCCTTACACTGGAGTTGTTGATCCACTACCAGCTTTTTTTAAATGATCTTGATCGACTAGAATGTGAAATTGCCTTGGTCCTTTAAACCAATTTTGAACAAAGCATACCTGCTGTGATTACTCATCTGCAGACTTTCAAATACAAATACCTGAACCAATGTCAAACATTTTTAGCTTTTTAAATGGTAAAAGAAGCTAATTCACATGCGCTCTTCAGTTCTTAAATGTATTAGTTTTAAAATATTTATGCTGTGGATAATCATTCCTTTGTAACTTAAACACTTAAAAAAAACCCCAAAAAACACTTTACAACTCTCAATCCAGCCATCTGGATTGTTTTGTTTGTTTGGCCAAAATACCAAAATAACTACAAGCATCCTGTGAAACTTCAGGCCAATCTCACTGGAAATAGCTGGTTTACAGAAGCTGGAGTACAGGGACTAAAATGTGAAGCTTTATTCATCCCTTGGGGAAATGTTGAGAACTCTCTGACAACTTTCTGATTTAAAAAGAAGCAAAGTTTGAACGTTGAAAAGTGCTCTAATTTTATGATATGAAAGGTCTAAATATTGAACTAACTATGAATTCTTCTTTGTATTGGAGTTGCAAATGGAAGTGTCATCATACCTCAAGGAAAACCACCTCTAATTAAACCAGAGTTGCAATTGCAAATACACAGACATTTTGCAAGAAAGAGGGAAAAACTTCTTCAGAGGGACAGTTGCTTTTCCAAACAAAAATTCCTTTAAAAAGCCTGAAACATCTCTACTTGGGAGTTCAAGAGGGGAACAGAGAAAGGGGAACACAGCCATGGAAATCATGAATATGTATAAATAATTCAAGACAATATTAATCAACTTTCACCCAGATGAGGCCAAAAAGGTTTGGGGCCAAACCTCTTTTCATGTGCTGTAGCATCTTCAGCACATCACCCCTGGCAGCATCCCTGGCAGGGTTCTGACTGCCCTGCTCTCCAGGCGCTCCTGCAATGCGGACTGCCCGGATGGAGGAGTTTGTGCAGAGGTGGAGCTTTCCCAAGAGAGATGAGCTCACGATACGCCAACATAAAGATGGCTTCTCTATCTCCTGCCTCATTCCTAGCCTTGGGGCCAATCCTGCTGGGTTCAGATCACTCAGCTCACACCCGGCCAGGAAAACAGCTACATGAGGGGCAGATGGGCACAGTGCTGTTTGGTGACAGACCTCTGCAGAGCGGGTGGTTCAGACCTCACCCTGAGATGCTGATCATGTTCTTCAGGGCAAAGTAAAGCAGACCAGCTGAATCGTGTTGACTTCTGACAGTAGCTACAAGAGCAGATGTCACCAAACTGCCCAAGTCAGCAAGAACTGACTTCTGGTCTTTCCCAGAGCTGTGGGTAAGCGTAAATAGCTTGCCAGAAAGACTCTTGACCAAAAGTGGCTGGAAATCAAGACTACGATGACTACCTTGAGTCCATTTAGGCAGACTGCACACTTAAATACAGGTGATGGGAAAAAACAATCACCTTGGTGCTGTATTGCAGCCACGACAAAATAAATACGTGGAAAGCTGGAGCTTCTCGTGCCCCACCCAAGCCCCGGGTGTGAGATGCATGGCCTGTGCTGGCTTCCCTGCGCCCTTGCTGAAACTCTGCAGTGCTTATCCTGCAAAACCTAAGATGAAGAAAAAATAGCATTGGGAAGAAAGCCTTTTCTAGCTGCCCTTTCCCCACTGGCTGAGGTTAACAGGAACATCAGCGTGGCTCGGATTTCCGAGTGCAGCTGCGGGGGCAATTGCTGCAGAAGAGGGGACAGCAGGGGTTAGGGTCTGGGCACACATCAACTTTCCAGGATTTCTTCCCCCCCACTGGGCAATCCCTTTTTCAGCCCCAGGTACTGGATTTGACGACCTGAAAGGCAGCTTCTCTCTCAGCAGAGAGGCTGAGTGAGCCCACACTGAGCACTACATCGTCCTCTGATTATAGGGAGGGAAGAAAGCAGCAAAGGCAATGTGAGCCGTGGAGCTGGAAGATGCTGTGCTTGAAAAGGAGACAGGAGGAAAACTGATTACAGAAGTCTCCAAGTGCCTGGAAGATGCTGCAAATACCCACATAGCAGCGAGCAGTTTGTCATTTGTGCTCAAGGAATGGAGTAATTAAATGTTACTTTGTACAGTGAGTGCTAAAACAACCGAGGCCCATGACACGGTTGAGAGGTGGCTGCAGGCAGGGCTGGGACACTAATTATTAGGAGCATTTGTGTATGTCTGTGTCAGGCAGAGAGAAACCCGCAGCAGAAGAGGCGACGGTGGCAGGGAGCACATCCTGCGGCACGAACGGACAGCAAAGCTTTTTGGCACGGGATTCTCCAGGCATAAAACTGCAAGAGGGAAGAGTTGCTGTGGTTTCCTCCCACTGCATTTCGAGGTAGGGGGGAAAAAAATGTCTCTGAGTGAAGAGGGATGTGTTGTACAAACGCTCACACTCTGAAGCCAATTTCTCCTCCTGACAAAAACAGGACATCAGCAGAGCCCCCAGTGTTGCCTATCCACCCAAAATATGGGGCAAGTCTCTTGTCAGGGACGTGCATATGAATTGCATTTTTGGCTATAATTCAGCTATGCTGACAATGTATTTATTTACATCCAAAAGAAAAATTAGATTTTTGGAAGAGCTTAGCACTTTCTTCCCCCTGCAGTGATCCTATCTTCTGATGATCCAGCTGCAGATTTTGTGCTCTGGAGCATTTTTGGAGAAGCTGGTCCTGGCAGCGACAGCAAACTGAGCTGGAAATGGAAATCTTTGCCCCCTTGTGGAGTATTTTGATGCAAGCAACAGGGAAGAAAAAAAAAAAAAGAAAAAGAAAAAGAAAAAAAAAGTTTGCTTTCACCCATGCTGGTAGATCCCCAGATGGCCAATTAAAAAAAAAAAATAAAAATCCATTTTCATCTAAAGAGGAATCAATAGAAAACTGAAAACCAAAATGCAGCATAGCTGCTCTAAGCATGTCTTTGGTGGGGGAGGGAGGGAAGGGGAAGAAAAGACTTGGAAATGTCCAGTCCCATGTACAGCTGCAAACTTTTTTTTTTTTTACTAATTTGGCACTTTATAGAAATGTCCAGTCCCATGTACGGCTGCAAACTTTTTTTTTTTTACTAATTTGGCACTTTATCCAACGTTGAAAAACTCTTCTTAAAAAATGAGAAACAGAGCAAAGCTCATCATAAGATACATACAGGCTGAAAAACACGGCCCAGAAAAACTGGCTGAAAAATATCCCCAGACTGTGTCACAGCCCCAGCACTAAGAAACCTCTCCAAGGGGCTAAAGCCCCTCCTCCCAGCCAGGAGGTATCCAACAGCCTGAAATCAGCCTTTTGGGAGTATGGGATTGGGGCTGATAGCTAAAAATAGGGCTTGTTTGAGAAAGAGACAGCTGATGGCAGTCAGTTCAGAGCATGTCCGGGTTTTGGGAAAGGATACGAGGTAATAGCAGAGGGCTCATCACTGCACTGAGCGAAGCCGAAGAGGATGGAGACCTGAGCTCCTGTTTTCCCCAGTGCAGCAGAAGAAACAAAGAACAAGCCCAAGACTGGGCCAACTGCTCCTGGCCTGGATGTACATTGTCCTCTAACTGCAGCTGATTTATTAATGAAGGAATGCTGGAGAACATTCCCCCTGTGTTGGGCAAAAGGAGCTGGGGAAACAGGCAGCAGGCTCACGCCAAGCCCCATAGCTGGGGACAGCCCGTGCCAGCAGCTCCGCCGGCAGCGCCCGCGTTCACCCAACAGCTGCGAGCGCAGCAAACCATCCTTGGGAAATGCCAGGGAGCAGCGAGACCGCATCCCAGCAAGGAACATGCCAGCATGGCAGGTCTGGCTCTTCGGCCAGGACAAGAGCAAGTGGGAATCTTCACAGCCAAGAGGGCTGGGCTCCCCTCGCCTCGCAGAAGCCGAAACTGAGGAAGAAAGGTGTTTAGCAAAACCACTGCTTTATGCATTTGACCATTGCCTTGGCCACACGAGCTCTGACGTTGGTGCAAACCCATCCCAGACAGCCCTAAGGGCAGTTTCCTCCTCTGCACACGGGTGCCCCAAGGTGCTTCTCTTGAGGTTTCCGTGCTCAACCTGTGCACGGCACCGATGCCTGGGAAGGAAAGAGATGCCGGTCATTATAGCTGCTGCACAATGCGGCAGTGTGAAACATCGAAACATCGCTGCTAATTGCCGATGCAAATGATCCGGTGTGCAGGCAGGGGGAATGGAAAGCTTTGCTTCTTATGAATCCTGCACTTCAGAGGTGACAGCATCACCTAGGGCTGTAGCAAAAATTACTGGAGGGACCCTAAAGCAAGGTGAGAGGGGTTCAGGAGAAGCATGCGAGGGAATGGGACTGCCTTCCCAAGGCTGACCGACTCCTCAAAGCAAATAGCAGGGAGGAATCTGCTTTTTCAGGGCTACACCTCTTCACAAGCAGTCTCTTTGTTCACCGAGGCAGGTTTATCCCGACATAGATTTAGATGCTGCTCAGATTTTCATGGTGCATCGCTGCTGACCAGAGAGGTGTCTGACACAGCAGGGTCCCCCTTTACTCGATGGTGAGTATGCATGTAGCAAAGCGGGAGCCTCCGTGCTTCGAACAGACCGAGACGCACAGATTGGGGCTGGTTTAATGACAGTGGGAGTCCGGATCGCGTGCAGCCACTCTGCTCTGACCAGGGAAAAAAGTGTAGGCAGAGAAAAGAAATGTGCCAGACTCCTATGTATTTTCCACGCTCACTTCTGTTTTCCCGAAGGCTGAAATAATCTCCGCGTATGAGACAGAAGCGAGCGCGCGGGGTCTGACATGCCCGTGATCCGCGCGGGAGCCCATCCCGTGCTTTTCCTCCAACGTTAACGCGAGCTGACAACGGCAGGGGCCCGGGCTCACGTGACTTTAATCAGCGCTGCCCTAAGCCATCAGAATCACATTAATTATTTCAGGGCTTTCTTTTTGGATGAACAGAGAACTTGTATTAAAAGCAGGAGCCTTCTGCTCAGCCTCTTCATAAACCTCCCACCAAGGTTTGCAGCGAGGTGGGCTGAGCCCAGCTGCAGATTTTGGCACCCACTGGGGAAGTTTTGCGTTGTCTTACAACACGGCAAAGACCTCACTTGCTCTGCTTCCCCAAAGCTACTGGGAGAGAATTCTCTTTTTTTCCCCCCCTCCCTCTCAACAGATCACTGGAAACTTTCAGGCTTTAAGTATTCCATTTCCTTTAAAAATAAAACATTTCTTCTTGCTGCATACAAATAGCACATTAATTTCTTCCACAATATAATGAGTGGAGCTTTAACGACACTTTAGATCACAGCTTCCGTACTATTAGCTACCAGCTCATCCAGGTAACAGCTTTGCATGGAAATAGGATCAGAAGGGACAAGAAAATACTGTTCTGTTGGTTTTTCTGAAACAAATAATGAATCTCACACCTGCAGCACAATCCTGCTCAGTATGAAAACGCCTCCAGAGCAAGCCCTTGGACAGCTAACGGTATTCCCCGGGAACCGTAATCGCACTCTGTTCGTGCTTTGTCTCTCTCGACAAGGTGCACGCTTCCCATTCTGTTAATAATTCAGCTGAGGGTACTCGAGAAAACTCAGGAGTTAATAGAAAAGGTTGGTGCCTATGAGCACCCGACAGGAATTGCTATGTGGCGAGAAGGTGGAGCCTCTCATCTTTCCAAAAGGAAACAATAGCTTTTTTTTTTTTTTTTTTTTTGGTAAGTTAAATGACAGAAAAGCTCATCTGTCAGGGAAGAGGATCTGTAAACCTGAGGCTTTATTTGCAAACAAGTCCCCCTTCCGTACTGCATTCCTCTTTCATCTCCCCGTGCAGCAGGACCCGTGCAAGGTAATCATGGTTGCAACAGAAAGACAACTTAAAACAATCGAGACTCACAAAGAAAACAAGCCAAACTCATGCCTTTCTCCTTCAAAGCAGACAAACAGACAAAAACAGCATCTGAAAAGTGCTTACCGACTTTGGGCTCTTCTTTGGGACCGGCAGTCCTGCAAAATGGCAACAAGGGAAAAATAAACATTAGCATCTAAACGTTACCTTCCCTTCAAGAAAAATAATCCCTAGGTGTTATCATCCGAACGTAGCCATCTGCAGAGTTATGTCAGCTTTCCCTCTCGCATCGGAGTTACCAGTCTGTTCATATCGAATCAAAGCCGCGGGAGAGGGAGAGCGAGCGCGAGCCGGGAGCGGGGGGAGAGCTCTCTCTGCATTAGCTATGCTGACTTGTGCTGCAGCAGCAGCGAGGCTGGGAGAGAAACCCACAGCCCTCAGCGGTCGCCGAAACCCAGCGCTTGGGCAGAATCTCAAATGCTCCCCTGGATTACGGGGAGACTTAGCTTACAATTAAGCCGAGGCGATTTCCTTTTGACGCGATCGGCTCGGCGATTTTATCAGACCAATGGCGGCAGCACAGGGGAAACAGGTTGATTTTTTTAAAAAGTATTTCTCTAGAAATAGATTTTTGAAAGGGAAATGTGCATCGGCTTGAGCGACGAGGCACAGGCTGGGCAAAGGAAAACAAAAGCATGCGGAGGAATAAGCTTCTATCCCTAAAAACAAGACTGGTACTGAGAAAACACAGTTTTTCTTCCTATCCATCCTAAGTGTAAATCTTTAAAGGCAAAGATTTTATCTGTTAGTTACAATTTCAGAGAGCTGAGGCTTGAAAACAGCCCTGCACATGTCCTGACCCTTGGGGGGGATGCTAGGGAGCTGGGAGAAGGGGGGCTTACACACGTCGCAGTCGACGGAAAGGAAGAAACAACTGGGAGGGCACAAGAGAAGGTTTTTTCAAGGACAATTTTGCATTTTGAAGCAGCCTCTTACTCATTCTGTGATGAGCCGGAGAACTCAAGTGGGATTTCTATTGACTACTTCTGCATACAGCCCAATTCCCAGCAGCAAAGGAGACACTTGTCCGGGGGATTTACCTACAACAAGGAAAAGCTCTTCCCTGGGCATTTTGGAAATCACCTGCCTTTTCCTCTGCTGCTGCAGGAGAGGGAACTCCCCATATTTTGCCCTGTGTGGCACTCCAGAAAACAAACATAAACCAAAACACAGATTATGCTCCACATTAAGTGCTCAGTAATTCAGATGTTTGAAATCTGCTTTTGTCTTTAGGATGTGATTTATGTGGCATTTCTGCCGCATTATGTTTCCTACTTTATGCATTTTGTTCCTGCTAAAACCCATGCCCTCGTCTAACTTTTACACAGAGAATAAAATAAGTGATGCAAGTGAATTACAAATCTGTCTAGGAAGAAGCTCATTTTAAGGTAATTTGGGAGATGTTAGTTCTGAATAGGGAAGATCCACAATTAAAAATGATAAACGGAGCTCACTCTGCTGCCTGTTCGCAGACTGGGATGCAAACTGTACTAAGCATTTTAAATTAAATATTTTCAGCTTTTGAGGAATATCTGTGCTCTGCACATCACTCTGATCCATTCCCAGCCAAGAGCTGATACCCCTCCAGGCAACAATTGATCGAGGGACAATGAAACATCAAAAATGTTTGAACTAAACAATCCAGACCGCACCTTCATTTCTGCTGACGGTGACTGTGTTCGTGTAACACAAAAGAGGAAAGCACTAATAACGCTCATGGCAAGTCACATTTTTAACAGGCATCATTTATCACACAGATAAACACAGATATTCTCCCTCTCTCTCTCTCTCTCTCTCTCTCCCCTTCCAGCCAACTTCACACACGTTTACTCTCCCTTTCCAAGAGATGCTCTTTCCTATTAAATCAATAGGTAGGACGCATCCCCATGAACACACACGCACCCCTAGCAGACCAACAGGAGCCAGAAAAGGGTATTACAGCAATTTAAATGTTCCCTGCAAGAAATAAAGCGGAGGTGAAGCTGGGCTGTTGGCTCAAATTGCAGCAGAATTCAGTTTATTGCATCACAAGCCTTAAATGTTAAAATTTACTAAGTATGAACTACTGAACAAACCTTTCCTTCAGAGTTTGTCATTAATTTTGGCTGTTCCAGTCCAAAAGAGATGGCAAATGGTTGAACAATACGGAAAACACATCAAGGCCATTGTTTGGCGGGTCCTTCAAAGGCCAACAAATCTTACAGTGTCACTGTTCTGTGCCAGACTTTGCTGCAGAACAAGCAGTAATTGACTTTTTACCAAAACAAGTGACTGCAGACACGTTAACAAATGTTGGTAGTTTTTCATGGGACAAGCTTATAGTCAGGGGAATAACCTGCCTGTACATTTTCCTGTAAAAGTGTTATTTATTCATCTAATTAGGGTCTCATTTTAAAACCCCAGTTTTTGACACAGCAGGCCAAATGAGCAAATGATAGGTATCATATGTAGTTTTCATGCACTGATGATGAATTGGACACAGTATTTAACAGCAATGAACACAGAGTGCTTGAATAACCCCCCAATCCTGGGAGCATCCCTAGCAAGAAAACACTGAGCTTTATTAAAAGGCTTCTGGCAAGAATAATTTCTCACACCTATGAGTTTGGGATGGTGACAACAGTGACTTAAAACATTCACCGTTTGGTTCATTAACAGTGTCCCATCACTGCTCATGCCATGCCTTGCTTGGTATGTGTATCCTCCCAGCAGTCCCATTCTCTCCTGAAGCCTCACTTTAAGTTTTTCAGAGGTACATGGGCCAAACATGGACTGAACACCCAGTTTGCATCTCTTTGGCATTGTCCAATGGCATTCACATCCACTGCTCTGCCCTCAAATCCAATAATGGAACAGTAATAGTTTCTATCGACACTGTTTGCGATATAATTTCTCTGTGGTTTAATGCCTATGGACATCTCTCACTAGTACTTGAAATGCATCTTACAATTTTGGGGGATTTTGTAGGTGCAGATTAGGGATGGTGGAAGAGTCAAGCAACCAAACAGGGCTGTTGTCATCACACAGTTAACAGTGTTCCAAAACAAACCAGCGCATCTGGTAAACAATGTCAATATGACCTAAAACCCCTTGAATGGGCTCATTGCAGCTACTTACTAAATGTGCCTAGAATTAAATTAATTAGAAAACACAAATTACTCCCCTCTAAATAACAATGCAATAAAGCAACTGCTTAATGAAAAATATCAGTGATCAGTGAGCAATGCGCGAGCACAAAAAAAAGGGACTGTAATCAAACTAAATTCACAGGCTCGTCAGCAAGGCAAGAAAGGCTTCACACAAGGTTAGTCAAAACTGAGTCAGATGTAAGGATCTAAATTAAACTAATTATCACAGAGATTATTACATTTATCTTAACAAAACCCTCTCTCTTTTCTCCCCAGTACTCCCTAAAGCTCTGTGTACAGCTGGCTGCATCCATCTGCTCAACTACGTTTTGTAACATGGGGGAAAAAATGCAAATCATTAAGCAAGTTTTGTACCATGACTTCAGCACTCTTAATGCCGTTCCCCATCAGGAGCAGCATTTCTGTTGCGTGACGCTGCACTATGTTGTGAGTGATGCAGTCCATGTAGTAAGGCCACAATCCAGCTTATTTCACATTAGGTGGCATGTGTTAATTTTGCAATCTTGTGCGGTAAAAACTTTTGGAGCTGGGGAAGCTGCAAGTTCCCCATCTCTACCTACGATGAGTTTTTGGAAGAACCCACGGGTCAAAACTGCGACCACAAGTGTGGCTGTTTCTAACATCCAGTGGTCCTCAGTTTTTATAGGAATATTTTCTCAAATCTTTTTTCTTTATGCAACCAAAGCAACATGGGAAGAGCACGACACATGGCAAATTCAGTTTCACTGCACATATACAGAATGCAACATGTGATGACAAACCCATGCCGCAGCCTGGGCCTGATTCTGGTGAGAGCTCGGAAGGCCACAAATGCTCAAAAATCAGCTAGATGGACACCAGACACACCATGCCCTGTTCCACAGCCCCATGTTTTAGAGACAGTGGAGTAAAATGATTGAAAATTGAGTCTTACAGAAGAGCTATCTCTAGGCACCACATGAGTCATCAGTCAACCCATCTAAACAGCTTGGTTATGTGAAGGCCAGTTGGCATGAACACTTCTCCCTCCACCACCAAAAAAAAAATAAAAAAAATTTCAATGGGATTTCAGTTGAAGTGGGAACAATTCAGTACCAGTTTGCACCATAGTACAAAAGTGCTTGAAATTGCCAAGAGACAATCTAGAAGCCAGATGTATCATCTTATTTATGGCTTACAGTGTCTGTGGCTACTGCTCAACGTTTTTCAGTTTTAGGCTGGTTTTGTACATGAAAGGAAAGAACAACTGTGTCTAGATCTTCACTTCTCATGATTGCTTAACACTTCCAATCAGGACACCCTGTGGACCATCCATATCCAACAGCAAAAAAAGCCAGAGGTGAGCCTGGGTGAAAAGGTCACCCATTTGGTTTTGTCATTACGTGGTCTGCAGCCCAGAACGCACAACAGCTGAAAATTAGCAGGAGATGAATAAAACCACAAGAAAAGAAACACTTCAGACTGTGTCACAAGTTTAACATTTACAGAGAAAATGTTCCTGCCTGAAAAAAAATAAAACCAGGCAGCTTTCTAAACAGTGCTGCTCACACCATTCTGAACAAAAACCAAAGGCTGTATCAAGGAAAACAGACACTTCGAAAGATGAGGGGTAAAGTACTGGAGTCAGGGGGTACACAGCCAGATAGATAACCGGCATTGCATGTTGATCGCTGCTTTCTGGGTGCAAAATAAGGACCTTTAAACAATTAACATTAATGGTCATTAGTGCTGCTATGGGGCTGGTGATGGGAGGTTGGTGGTGACAAAGCAATCCCCTTGATTCTCTATAATCCATTGCTAATTAATTTTTAATAAAGGACAAACACTATCTGAAAAAAATAGGTGGAATTTGATCTTTTCCAGACTGGAGAAAGAACAAGAAAATATACCAGAATAATTTGCAGCAAGAGAGGCAAGTCTGCACGCAGGCAAAAGCAGTACCACCAAGAAGACAATCCCCACCTTGTCCC